ACAGTATAAATATATATATTATATAAAGATCAATTCAAACACACATATATATATATATAAAGAAATACAAATAATAAAATGCAGTTTCTCCCTTTGGTTAAGTTGATGCTGGAAATCATAAAAAAAAAAACTATATATAATGAATAAGAGAGTCCTTTCTTTTGGCTCTTGTATATTCTGAGAACATCTATTGATTTTTCAACATTTCTCTGCTGCTGTTTAGTTCAGTTTTAGGGAGCAAAAAAACCAAATCTGTTGCAAAAAAAAGGAGTCGTGATTCTGTGTCTGTCTGCTGCTGGACTGAGTTGAAAAGTGAGAGTACGGTTTGCAGTATGTGGGCGGTGGTGCACTCACTCTGTGGACACTGCTCGCTGGTACAGTTGAGGGACTGGAGGTCGACCCCCTGGCAGTCTTTGCCTCCGGTGCCAGGTGAGGGCTGGGTGCACTCCCTGCTCCTCCACATAGAACAGTCGGCGCCGCAAGCTGACCACTTGCTCCACTCGCTCCAGCCTCCATCTACTGCAGAAACACATCAAGTATAAAAAAAACATGAAGTTACAAAAAAGTCTGCATCATCAGACACTCAAACTGATTCCCTCCAATACACGGTTTCTTCACAGGGATAAAGTATTGATCAGAAATCAGACTGAACATTTTCAATACAACAAGTGAGGTGCGACGACGCTCCTTTTGTGCAGATTCATTTGCTCCATATAAGACTCGGAAGGAAAAGCATGATATGAAGAAATTCAAAGCCGCCGACACCAGTCCAAATCCAGCAGATGTCGAGTGAAACCACAGTGTGTAAAACTGCTGAGAGGAGCCACATTCTGCCTCCTTTTGTTTATTTTCAACATGGAAATCAGATGCAACTAAGCTAACCCACACTGGTGCCTGGCTGCTGTGGAAGCTGCTGTGGCCTGGTAGTCCCAGCTGTCAACAATACAAATATGTAGATGGGAAACCGACTCCTGGGGAAAAGGCCCTGTTGTCTCCTGCTCCTCCACGACATGCACCACACTGGTTCTCCTTATTTAAAAATTCTCCCAAACCAGGTATTTGTTTAGGAAAATAAATCCAGTTTGGTTTTGTTTTTATTTGAAAAAACAAAAAACAAAAACCAAACCAAACACAAGGTTTACCTGCTGCGGACTGGAATGTGAGATATGACATTACCAGAAATGAATGTTCACGGCACCTGCGGCCACCGTGCAACTTCAAACACTCCACTATCAGTAAGCAGCAAAAATAAAAATAAATAAACACAAATGTTTTTTTTCCCCATCAGCAGCTTTACCAACACACAGGGAGAGGCCAGTTTTGCAAAGGTGGGGGTTAATTTGGCACCGTGTCCAGGGGTGGGGGCCGGTTGGGTTGAGAGTGACACAGCACCAAGCCAGGGGAAGGTTGCCATAGGGCTAAAGGGAAAAAGTGCAGTAATGAGCTCTCATGGGGGGAAAAAAAGCCACTGTCTCGCTCTTTTTCCCTAACGTACAGGTAAATGGGACCAGAAGAGCATCACCAGGGGCCTCCTCCTCCTCCTCCTCCTCCTCCTCCTCCACCTCCTCCTACTCCTCTTAACCCCCTGCTCACAGGGGCACACATCCACCCACCCATACACAGAGACACAAACACACACCTTTTATGACGGTGTCATCGCTCCTCTTGACTGACCTGAGGGCAGGCAAACCTTAGCGCTCATTAATCCAGGCTATAAAGAGGGCAGAGGTCACGACCCACAGAGAGAAGGTCGGCCCTTCTACACATCTGACGCTCTGCTTAATAAAACTTGAGTGAAGCAGAATGATGTTACTCCCGTCTGTGTTATTCGCCACAACTAAGAGCAGTTTCAATCACACCACGACTGGTGGGCGGAGCTGCAGGTGATGACATAATCAATGACATCATCAAAATGCTGCAAACACCTAGAAACCCTAGGGTAAACTTATCACTGTAGTGCTGCAGGTATTGCAGTATTCAGCAGTACCAGTACTGGTACAGAAAAATATTATTTTTGTGAGAATATTTTCATCTGTCATCTGACAAATGTATCACCAAATAATACTGTACTTTTAAATTGCATTTTTGAAAATGTTCTTTCCTACAAATGAGTTTTGTAAAAAGGCTGTTAGGGAGCAGGAGTCCGGGTTTTCTGTCTTTGTGACGGGGATGCTGACACAGCTTGGACCTCCCTGCAGTCGGATCCATTTGGCAAAGGGAGCAGAACCAATCAAATAATTGTCCTTGTTTGGCATTGACTGGACTCATCCGTGGGCCAGTGGGCTGATTATCCAGGCTGGGAATGAGAATGATTGAATAGCGAATTACTTCCTAATGAATACATAATGTCAGGCCTCCGTTTATCCTCACCGCTGTGAAACAAAGAGATGAGATCAACATCTGCCCTGATGAGGTGATGAAATTCTACTTCACTCTCTCAGCACAAAGCCAGACAAACGCCCGTTTCCGACGAGGAGATCGAAGAGAAGACGAGCTCTGCTCCGAAAAACACGAGAACAGGACAATCAGAGAAAGAGGAGAGGAGATCGAAGAGAAGACGAGCTCTGCGAGAGAAAGAGGAGCAAGTTAACAACCAACCAGCAACAAGTCGGAGACGAGGAGTTTGACAGCAGCAGCAACTGAAAACATGGTCCACTGTTATTAAAGTGGAAGAGGAGGGAGAGAATCAGACTCAATCAGTGACGTGAAGCAAGAAAGTCGACACTTTCCTCTTATATTAAAGGCTGGAATCAGCCACACACACCGCTCTCCCACCCTCCCTCGCCCCTTTTCCTTTTTGAAAATCCACGTCAGAAAATTGTCATCCAGGGCTGCAGTTTTTCTTATTAAATCCCCAGAGAGAGAGATTGTTAGAGCGGCTGCAAAAGGCACCACAGCTGATTTTCAATCTCGCCGCACCACAGGTTTTAGGTCAGGCAGGTCTCAGAGAAGAGACGCTAATACAATAGCCAAATGGCAGGCCTCCATTTGGACATGTTGTCAAGGCAGGAAGCAAAAAGGAACCCCACCACTCTTCAGAGGTCGGCGGGAGACCCGCTGTCAGGAGCCGCTGCTCCAAATAACAATGGCCGCTGACGGACACGTCCGAGATCATTGGACGCCCGTGGTTCCTGTGTCTTTCAGGGGAGCACGAGGAGGTAGACAAGCACCACTGAGACCAGCGGGTCGGCCCTCTGCTCCCTCTGACCCGTCACCTCCTACTCCCTCTGTGTACAGTAACCACCGCTGTTCAAAAGATAATGAAAGAAGAGCCTTGGACGATTGAAGACCAGAGGAGGCGGAGAAGCGACTGAAGTAAGATTATTTAGCAAATCTTGCTTTGTAAAATTAAAATAGACCCCCTCATCTCTTTTTTTTCTTACCAGTTGTGATGAAAACAGTCTGTAGACTGCAGAATAACACGCTGCAGACTTCTGTTGTGTTGAAATAGACTCTAGAAAAAGTTAAATGAGACAGAATGCCACGTGAAGAGGGCCATCCAAAACAAACGACAGAGGGTGAAAAATTCCGCCGCTAATGCGAGGCTGTCAACAGATGGCCACCAGTCTTCACTTCAAATGTGTTTTCTTCTGCCACATTTATTAGAAATAGCTTCTAGTTGTTGGACAACGGCTGTCTCCAGAAAATCTCCAGAAAATATTCTCCGCTAATATCCAGACAAACACAAATGCTTGCTTACAACGTGAAAATCAGACACTTGCCCGCAGTGCACACAGCAGACATATGGATCAGGCTCGCTTTTGTACAGCACACACTTAGACATGTGCAGCAACAACAACAGCAGCACACCAGCCTGGAGTGTGTTTATTTTCCATCTAGTCTAATTCTCCGGACTCCTCTGGCGAGCTCCAGGGATCGGTTCAATATTTAAATTATTTACTGGAATTCCTGTGGAATCTCCTCAGGTTGTTTGCCGTCCTCCATCGCATTACACAACACTCGTGTTCATTTGTGTGTAGATACCTATTTGGGTGGAGTCCAAACAGCAGAGGTGTAACTGACGTTTTTTTGGCTCAATGTGTGTGTGTGTGTGTGTGTGTTTTTGTTGAAAACGTTGGCATGATTTGACATTTTGCTTGTTCTGACTTGACTTGTTGGCTCCATCCAGGAGTCAGTATATAGGAGGAATCGATGGAGAGGTGTGGGCTGGACTGGTGAGAGATGGAGACGAGGGAAGATACAAAGGCAGAGAGAGAGAGAGAAATGAAGATTAAGCTTTTGCAAAGTTTGGCTACTGCTGTTGATCTGCTCTGCTCGGAGGTGCAGGCTTCAGCCTCAGCCGCCGCCGCCACCTCCTCCTCCACCTCCTCCTCCTCCTCCTCCATCTCCTCCTCCTCCACAGCTCCCTGCGTCTCTCCCAGCATGGAGCCCATCTGATCTGCCACACAGGCCTTTGCCAACTCTCATTACACACTTTGGAGACAGACAAAAATACAGATGAACCTCTCGAGCTTCACACGTTCCTGAGGAGAGGTGGGAGCTGACATTCTGATACAAGAGACCCGACGCTCAGACATGTGGAGAGACATTTGACTGAACAGACTGCTGCGGACGGTGTCGGTCTGTGACGGTGTCAGTCTTTTAGAAAGTAACTGTGCACCATAATGTCACCGGCATTAGACTGTAACCCTCTGGTAACTCAACACGTACGGATGTATGTGCAGAAAACAGAAGCCTTACATCAAGATTCACGCTGTTACAAAAAGAACAATTTAAAACCCAAACACCCGATGACAAGCCGTAACGCTAAATTCGCTAACGCCTCTTCTCAATTTAACAACACAAGCAGGAGTTTACCTCTCACCAAGTGAAGGATTCAGTCACATGGTTTGTCAGTGTAAAAGCTCCGCTCACTTTCTGTTCAGCTGACTGGGTGTACTCTGCAGAAAGTTGGATTGTTTTTTATCTTACAATATTCCTTTTATAAATTTAATTGTATCCATACTTTTTCATGACATTTTGTCTAATGTATACTGCTTTACATTGGGTTTGCCGGTGCATTTTCAACTAAATATGATCATAAGATGCAACATTACATTATGTTTGTATGGAGATTATTGAGACAAAAAGATTTTTTTTAAACATTACATTATGTTTGTATGGAGATTTTTTTTATTTATATTTGAAATTCGTCAGGGATTCCAGGGACTTGCGTCTGCAGAGGAAACAGCTCTGTCCATTTTTATGATCATACACTTTACTGCTGCGGTTTTCAAAGTGCGAGGCGATTTCCCTGGGGGACACCGGAGCACAAGGGGAGGCGCAATACAAGAATAATCTGAGCTGGCTAATTTGAGATGAAGAGGAATAGATGGATTTGTCTCGTGTACAGCGAGAAAGAAGAATGATTTTAAACTGCAAGAAATCAGAGGAGGTGAACGCAGTTCTTTTTCATTTGCTGATGGAGTGAAGCCCAGAATGTCAAGACTTTGAAAAGTCCGCCTCTGTAATGTTAGCTGAGTAAAACAGTTTTGTGCAAAAGTCTCAGGACGCCACAAGTTTTTAAATTTAATTTAATGCTCAAGCCTAACTTGGATAAAGCGCCGCGGTGCCAGAATCAATATTACCAATAATATTTATTGGACTCTAGGGGGAGTCCAGATCCTGAAAAATGTCTTCATATATATTTCCTACTTTATTCTCATGCAACAGTAACAATATTAAACGGTGAATTATCACGACTGAGAAATATTGAAATAGTAAATGTAAAATTAAAACGAGTCCAACTTTTGCCCCAGACTTTTTGTTTTCGCACGGTTACAGTAGAGTATTTACCGAGTGTGTGTGAGTGTGTGTGTAATTTGAACTGACTGGGATTCAGTGAATTTTTATTCCGTCAACAACATCTCCGTCTCCCACAGGAGGAGTAGAGCAAATCCATCATTGTGTTTCAGGAAAAGCAGACACAGACTGCGGCTGAAAAATTAACCACTATAAGCAGCGAAAAACAATATTTTACATTCACTTGGTAAAAACATCTAACGCTGTAAGTCAAATACACTGTGGAGCTAATAATCAACAATAACCCCAGTCTGGGTAATGGATGTGGCTTTGAAACCACACCAGCGTCGGAGCGTGCAGTTTTTATCACACGACTTGAAAAGAAAACGGCAGTGCGGAGTAGAAACATGAGTGGAGACATGACTTGGTAAAGAAAAAAAAAAACGGAAAAAATCAGAGTGTCAATGGTGCCTGAATAAACAACATGATGTTTGTGAGCAGCATCACAGATCAGGCTTTAATCCCCGTCTTCTGCACGTTTTTGAACAAGACTCAGTGATAATTCAAGACTTCAAGGATGTTCTGTGGTCGGCCGGCCTCATCTGTTCCCTCTCGCTGACCATGTGTGACATTTATAAATGAGCGCTTCTATTTCTGCTGATGATTCATATACAGTATGCGTTATTCATGTATCTGATAAATGAAAGTGAAGTTTTGTATGTATTCTGGGCTGTTTTTTTTTTCTTTTTCCCACCAGGCTGTGTGCATTTGTGTGCCGCGTGAAAAATGATGGCAGAAGTCACTTAATCTTGGGGGCTTTCAGAGACACGTCTGTGTGTGAGTACACAACAGAGCCACTGTGCCACTTGTGATTGGAAACAACAACAGGCTCTCATCCCCGGGCTCTGGCAGCGGTGGACTCTGGCCTTGAGGGGAACCCTGTGTGTTCGCCGACAGCTGGGGCTGTCTGTGCTGCTGACGCTCCGTCTTAGACAGGTAACAAGAGAGAAAGCAAAGTCGCAGCCTTCAGAGCCCGGAGCGGAGCTGATGGAGGAGCGAGTGGGGTCACGTCGCCGGAGCATCTTTCATCACGGCCGAAAGAGGAGGAATTCATTCACTTCAGAAGTCGGTGCAAACTACGTTCGTGGGGCACAACGCTGTTTCTGTCACGGCACCCTTAGGGTTGAAATTACACACTTTGTCCTGGCGGGGGCAGGAGACAGATAGACAGTCAGGGTGGGGTTTGGGCTAACAATAGCAGCTCGGACTGACATTAATCTCTTTAAGCTTACAGGGGTCAGTATCCAGCCTTTGCTGTTGGGGAACGTCAAGCTTCCCCGGACGCTCCTGTAATTCCATTACTGGCGGCACCGGTGCTGATAAACCCAAATCCAAATCCACGCACAAAGCATCGTAACGAAGCGTCAGTCATTCCTCTGTTCCCGTTGTCTTCCTCCTGCCGCTGCACTCCGGCAGGGCCATGTTACTTACACTCATGCTTGACATCCAGTGATGTCTTTACATGGGAGATGTGTAACACAACACTGTGATTCAGTGAGGAAGATAACCTTTGTTTTAGACAGGGAGAAGCTGCCACTGCGAGAGGTGTTCGATTTCCCTCTCTGCTATTTACTGAGTGTGGGAGATTTCTCCTGCGGTCAGCACGGCTGCAGTGACCCCCTCCACACTCCCCACCCCGCTACAGACAATGTCCACAGACTAATCTGCTGAGGGGCAATAGACAGATCTGGTACAGACTCAGGGCTTTGTTACTTCTCTCTCTCTCTCTCTCTCTCTCTCTCTCCAGCCTTTGTTCTTGCCTTCCTTCCACTGTATCTGATTCCATCTGCCTTGGATCTTACACCTCCTGTTTTCTCTCTCTCACCATCTCTCCCTCTGTCAGGGGGCTAATGTAGGCTGCAAATGAAGCAGCTTGACTTCCATCTGAGAGTTGCTGGGATCGATATGTGTTGCTCAGTATCAGGCAGGCCACTCTGCCTCCCCGACCCTCGCACAAGGGAGAGCGCCGGGGCAAATGTAACGCCGTCAGCTCCCCGCACGTAACACTGAACACGGGCCAGTGTAATTCAGCAGTTTTTTTTTTATTGCTCATATTTACTACATAGCTTGAGCAGCAAAACAAGTGCAAAACGTACTGTCGGCTCTGACACGGTGCCACAGCTGCTACCTAACGGCAGACAGCGTCTGCAGTATAAAGGCAGGGTCTGTCAGCAGGATGCAGAGATGTATGAGCGAGTGTGATGACAGTAGATCACGTCGAGGATGACGCCGCACTGTGCAGACTCAATGGCATTTATGCTTCATTCTCAGTGTAAGCAAGCTCACCGCAGCAAAAAAAAAAAAAAAAAAAAAAAAAAAAGTGCTAATGTGTCAAAGAAGTCGTGAAGGTGCCGGTACAAGAAAAGTGCAGCCAAAATAAAAATGAGCTGATGTTTTTTAAATGCAAAAAAAAAAAAGCAAACGAGAGCCACAGGAAGCCAAGCACCACAGGACAAACACTGTTGCCTGGGAGTTACCTGGACAGGTGGCCACGCAGGCACTTTTCTGGACGTTCTGCCCCTCACAGGACGTGCCTCCGTTCAGTGGCGTGGGGTTGGTGCAGCTCCGACTCCTCTTCTGCCAGCCACGCCCGCAAACGGCACTGCAGGACGACCAGGTGGTCCATGTGGACCAGCCGCCGTTGACTGTCAGACCAGCGTTGGGGAAATGGAGGGGGTCAGAGAGGGAGGGTGGTGAGGGGGGAGGGGGTGAGGATGAAGGGACAGAGCAGCCAGGATTACCCGACATGCGCTGAAGAAGAGGAGAAGTGTGCAGCGCTAGAATAATTGCGACGATTGTTACACTCTTTGGCTCAGCACTGCAAAGTGAACAAATGAAAGAGCAACAACTGAAGGGGGCTGCTTCCTGTGTCCAAGTCGCAATTACAGCCAACTGCAGGAGGAGCCGTGAGTTTAAAAAGTGAGAAAACAAAAAAAAAAAAAAAAAAAAAAAAAAAAGAAACATAAAACCCT